ATAACATCAACCTCATTCCAACGGTTGTTAGGACATATCCCAGTCCAAGCTATTTCTGGTTTTGGTCCTCACAGTTCTGAGGCTCAATAAGATAAAGGGTGTCTTCTCTTCAATTACCCCATACATGCCTATTTCCCCCTGGCATCTTTGCCCTTTTGTCCACCTAACAGTCTACAGCCTCAGTCTGGCCTAGCAGCCCTTCACTCCACTAGCCCTATCATTCTGCTGATCCTTCTGGCCTTGCCATGTTCGCTGTGCTACCTTGCTGGCTTTGCCACCGTGTACTCTGCTGGTCCTTCCAGGCTGCCAGTCTTACCTGCCCTGTGCTCACCAGCCTTGCCAATCAATGCTCAGCCCACGTAATTTGGAGAATGGCAGCCATAGCCTTTTCTTGAGGATTTAGAAGGCCTCAGAAGTCTGCCAAGACTTTGAGAATACAGTGCACACTATTTTGAGAATAGGAAAAAAGACCTCAGGAAGAAGGTTTGGCTGCTGCTTAGGCCCCTCATCAATAGTAAGTGGAAGATGATTAAGAGCAGCTGAGGAAAATAGAGCTAGGAAGTATGGGCCAGTGAGCGCAGGGTGGCAGGGCCAGTGAATGCAGGACCAACAGAGCACAAGGTAGCAAGACTAACAGGGCAGCAGGACCATTGGAGCACAGAGCAGCAGGGCTAGCAGGATATGGGAGTCGTTGGGGCTGTGATGCTGGATAGCTAACTGCAGTGCAGGACTTGAGATGGCAATCCATGGCAATGGTGGGATTGAAGTAGAGACCTGAGATTTCTGAAGGTCTAAGGCTTCTACTTCAGCCCCATGCTACAGCCATCAAGGAATGCTATTGTGCACAGTGGTCCAAAGAGCAGGAAAAGATGGGTGAGGATAGTCGAATCGACCCTGCGGTTGTCAGTGCAGGTGAGCTGCTAAGTGCTTCAATTTTGATCAAATGTCTACAGGGGAACTGCAACAGCTATAGCTTTGGGGACACAGCCATAAGCACCATTCATTCAATGCTACAATCATTTTGAACAGTCAGTGAACAAATTGTCTAAATTTGAGGACTATCTGTACCTTGATTGAATTTTTATCACAAAGGTCAGCAGCTCAGAGGAGGGCCTTTTTTTAAAAGAGAATTTATTTTTGTAGTATGCTTTGTGAGAATAGCAGTATCAGTTGGTGCTTTACAGATATTTTAAAAAACATACTGTATTTTCTTCTCCCCTTCCCCCTCATTATCATTATTAATTAAATATCTCTTCATTTCTGTTTTTTCAGGGTGGAAGAAAGGGGAAGAGAAACTCAGAATCTGACCAGGGCAGATGATTTCCTTTATACTAAATTGAGAGCCAAAAAGAGGAATATTGATCTTCAGGGTTTTGCAGAAATGTATATTTATACGACTGCTTAACTATGCAGGTTTTTTTGAGGGGAAGGTAAGGGGTAGTGATTAAAGTTTAATTAACTAACAGTTAATTCAATATATTACTATTCTGGATTAAAGTTGGAAATGAAATACATTAATGCTCTGTGTTCTAATGCTGCATATCTAGTTTTTCATCAATCAAAAAATTGTCATTTTTATTATTCTATTATGTATAATTTCATTGAAAAATAAATAATAGTTAATGGCTCTTCTTTCAAGGTTTTTACCTTTTAATTTCATTATTATCTTTTGTGTGTATGTGTGTGTGTTTTACTGATGGGCAGTTACAAATAATTGGATTGTCTTAGAGGGAAGAAATAAGACAGAAAAGAATATGGTAATAGTGATACAGCTCAAAGCATGGGGTTTGTAAAAATAATTAAATCAGCTGTAAATGCAAAATGATAAACACTTTAATACAACACAAATATTTTGGGGGTCTAGTATAAACAAGATTATATAATTTATCTTTTCACCATCACTTATGCAATAGTTGAGCTTTTATTGGTACAGACAAAAAATCTCTTATTTCATTATTTTTTTTAAATGCTATTTTAGATAACATGCACATTTAACTTTTCTATTTTTTATCTTTAACATGTACTTTATAAACCCATTTGAATACATTGTTTATAGCTGCAATAGAAATGCAGCTCTCCTAAAATAAGGAAGCAAGTTTTCATACTACGTTTAATATCTATTGCTTGCAATGATATGAGATAATAAAGAGTAAATTTTGCTAAGTAAGCTGTCTGCTCTTTAGGCATAGTTCAGGAAAGAACTAGATAGACAATGATAATTTCAGTTTTTTTTTCTCATAATCTCATACAAAGCAAAGTGGAATTGTTCTTTTCCTTTAAATGGAGATTCTGTGATCCAGGTCATCATTGTCTAAGTTGTTCTTGGTTTAGAAGCAAAACGCTTTCAAGGCAAAATATCAAGAAAGTCCAGTTGCCTTTTTGAAAAGCACCAGTTTTCCAGTGAAACATATATTTAGTCTCTACTATCATCCCAGTGCCAAAGAAGCCCCCCATCAAGGAACTGAATGACTTACAAACCAGTTGCTTTAACACCTGTAGTTATGAAAGGCTAGTGCTGTCCCACCTGAATACCATCATGGATCCGCTATTAGACCCCCTGCAATTTGCATAGAGCAAACAGATCAACAGATGATGCTGTTAATATATGTATGCTGCACTACATCCTACAACACCTTGAATCTCCAAAGACTACGCAAGGGTTCTCTTTGTAGACTTTAGTTCAGCATTCAATACCATCATTCCAGACATTCTTCTAACTAAACTAAACCAGCTAGCAGTACCTGAACACACTTGTAAGTGGATCATAAGCTTCCTAACAGACAGAAAGCAGCAGGTGAAGCTAGGCAGAATCATATCTGACACCTGTACAATTAGCACAGCCGCCCCTCCCCCCCACCAAGCTATGTGCTTTCTCCACTTCTCCATATATACCAATGACTGCATCTCAGACGATCCATCTGTTAAAATACTGAAGTTTGCAGATAATACAACAGTGATTGGTCTCAGTGACTGACAACGATGAATCTGCATACGGATGGGAAGTTGTACAACTTGCCTCATGGTGCAACCAGAACAATCTGAAACTGAACACACTCAAAACTAGAAATGATGGTAGACTAGGAGAAACCCTCCCATACTACCACCTCTTACAATACTAGACAACACAGCATCAACAATAGAGACCTTCAAATTTCTAAGTTCTATCATATCTCAAAACCTAAAATGGACACCTAACATCAAAAACGTCATCAAAAAAGCACAACAAAGAATGTTCTCTCTGTGCCAATTCAGAAAGCTCAAACAAAATTTTTATTGTTTCCTTGTATGATTTGATTGCTTATTGTACCCCATGACTATTAAGTATTGTATCTTACAATTCTTGACAAATGTATCTTTTATATATACTGAGGGCATATGCGCCAAGACAAATTCCTTATGTGTCCAATCACACTTGGCCAATAATTATATTCTATTGTATTCTACAGACAGTGTAACGGTGATTTTGATCTTGGCTGTGTTATGCTACCTTTAAGACTTATTCTGACATGTATTAAATGTGGACTAGGTAAAATACATGGTTAATAGGTATTTTAATCACGAGTTATTCCGTTTTTGGGGTTCCAAACTGAACAGCATATGCTGGGTTCATACAATAGCTAAACAAAATTCGACTAGATAATCTATCATTGATCTGTCTTAATGTGGTTCTTTGCTTCATAGAGATGCATTCCCAAGTGCCTCTTAAGAGTTGAGATGTTCCATTGTGCAATATTGCAAGAGGTCTGACCTGTCAGTTTCAACAGATGCGGTTTTATGTATATCCAGAACCCACTTTGACAAGGGAAATGTCACAACTGCTCTATCAATTAGAAGCAGCTATCACAGCATTTCATAGAAATTTTGATATAAAATTGGCCATCAGTCCAACTTCGTTCAAATAAAGTGCTGCTTTGAAGATTTGCACAACTTATTCAGTATGTATAATTGCTAATAGCTGAGAAATAGGTAGTCCACAAGATTTCTGTGGCTCCAACTTGCCTTTTTAAAATGCCCCTCAGTATTTTCAAGTCGAATTGCCAAAATTCAATAGTACTAGATGTTTTCTGCCATTGTGAAATGTAAAGTGCAAGTGCAAGCAATATACCCTTTGAAATGAATCAACACTTCGGGTAGAATAAACATGCCAGTCACCACAAAAATTATTACTATTCATTATTATTCATTATTGTGATCTCCCCAGACCCTTCTGCACCCTATTTGATCCTAGCTAGATTTGGCCACCGCACAAGCGGGATCCCTGAATTTGGAGCGTCAATTTCTCTTGTTGGCTTTATAATTCACTGTGGATTCCGATTTCAGCGAGTTACGCCTTCAGACGTCTTCCTGAGCCGATATATATTTAATCAAATAAGTCAAATAAAAGTTTCAAGAGCGCTCTTAAATAATTATGAATAATGATTTTAGAATACAGTTCCTCCCCCAGAATCACTTGGGGAGAGTATTAAAGAAACGGTCCCTTAGCTTTTAAAATGCAAAGCTTTCCACGAAGCAAATACCAGCCAAAAAACTGCGCCACAACCATCCATGAGTCGTCAAAAAATACGTCACCAAGCGGCGCAAGTACTTCCCGACAACGTCAAAGTAGCTGCTCACCTAACAATGCCAACTTAGGCCTTTCGGTTCAACTGCGTTTGCGCAGTAAAAAAGTAACGTCCCAATGCGCATGCGCTCTCACCATCTTGGTCTCATTCTACGCATGCGGGTAGCCCCCTATTAGAATTCTCATGCGCCGGCCAAGTCAGTTCCTCTTTTCTAGTAACTTCCCCGATCCATGACGTCATCAGTAGGCGCCACTATTGAGCCGGGCTGTTTCCGTTGAACTCTCCGAGAGTGGGAGAGCTTTATAGTGGTGGGGTGCGCGCGCGCTCGAGACGGTGAGGAGAGAGGAGAGGGTCGACCTTACCCAGCATTCGCTGCGCGGCTTGGCTAACGAGCACAGGAGGCCGCCCCGCCGTTCGTCCACCCGCCCCGCGCGCGCCATGTCTGAGAGCGGCGAGAACCCTCCTGGGCCCCAGAGCCCCACCGATCCCCCCGTCCCGGCCGCGTCTGCCTCAGCATCTGAGCCGCGGATCATTAAAGTCACCGTGAAAACCCCGAAAGAGAAGGAGGAGTTCGCGGTGCCAGAAACAAGCAGCATCAGGCAGGTGAGGCGGGGAGCCAGAGCTATGCAGGGGGAGGGGCGTGGCCGGTACCACCGCTCGGCGGCGAGGGAACCACCCACCACCCGGCTCTTTACCGGGGGCTCCGAGGCCGTCCAAAGGCCGGGAGAGCGCGCGGCGCTTCTGCACAGTCACTGGCCCAGCTGTTGGCGCGGGCCGGGAGCTGTTGCCTCACCGAAGGCCTGAAAAAGGGATTGGACACGGACTTAGGTTCCGGAGTGGAAGTTGGAGCGTTTTTCTTCCAGGTGGGTTTGCGGAGAGAAGTGTGGCTCAAGCGGGTTTTGTCAGCGTGTCCTGGATACCGGCCCATGAGAGGGGGAGGCTGACCGATGTAGTTCCTGGAGGCCGGAGATGGACCTCGGCTTTGTCTGGAAAGGAGCGCACCAAAAGGGGTGAAATCTGCACTTCTGTGTTGGGCTCAGTCCTCACGGGCTAGCAGGCCTTGGGAGTTTAGCAACGAAACGTATGGAGTCGTTTCCAACACAGGCTGGTTTTCTACTTCTTCACGTTTAGCCCCGTGTCTTCTATTGAAATGGCTGCTGGTGATGGTTTAGGCCTCTGTGGACATATGAATGGGAGAGGGCTTGTAGCTCTGCCTGCAGCCTTCCCATAAGAAGGAAATGGTGGCCTTTGGGTCTGATTCAGCTCCTTTGCTCTACATTACAATACATTAACAAATAGATTGTTATACAGCCTGTTGGTTTGGAACAGGGGCTTTGTTTCCTTTACATATTTACATGTTGAGGAATTGTAGTAATTGATGGGGGGTTTCTTTTGCAGAAGAATGCTTTCTGGAAGTGATGTGTGATATAGAAGTAACTCACAGTGCACTCTGTAGATAGAGTGATAGGATCTGTACTTGTCTTCTTGATGTTTGGTCTACCACTTGTACACAAGCAGTCCTCGACTTATAACATTTCATGTAGTGCCTGTGACGGCACTGAAAAAAGTTATGACCATTTTTCACATGACTCTTGCAGCATCCCCATGGTTATGTAATTAAAATTCAGATGCTTGTCAACTGACTCATATTTAGGACGATTGCAGTGTCCCAGGGTCACAAGATTGCCTTTTGTATAATCAAAGTCAACAGGGAGGCCAGATTGACTTAACAACCATGTTATTATCTTAACAACTGCAGTGATTCACTTAACTGTGGCAAGAAATGTAGTAAAATGAGCAAAACTCACTTAACAAATGTCTCACCTGGTTTTATGTCGAGGACTATCTGTATTTCAAAATCTATGTATTGTAGATATGTTTAAGCTTCTATATGTCTGACATTATGCTCTTAAGCATACTATCTGTCAACCTGTTAACTATCTTTATGCTCTGGCCTGTAGAGAAAAATAATATATAAGTATATTGGAATTTGAATTAGGCCTCATTTCAATGTTGAGATGGAAACTTATCAGGTAAACATCACTGTAATATAAAGACAAATTTAGAAATTATTGGCAAAATCTAGAATTTCTGTCAACACAAAATTTAACAGGTATTCAACTGAGTAAAAATCTACAAAACGAGGGAAAATTATTGATGCTAAATAAAGTGAATATTCATTATACCAGTAAATTTGGGGTATTTTTTATTTTATTTTATCACTCTAGTTTTATTATTTTTAGGAATAGACTGGTTAGCATTCTGGTGTCCAATGTTTTGGCTTGCCTGGGCCACATTGAGTGAAGAGAAATTGTCTTGGGACACCTGTAAAATATATAATGTATATAAATCACAAATGTTAAAAGTTACTATCTGGTGGAGCTGCATTACTAGCTGTCCAAGGCTGTGGGCTATGTTTTGGAACTAAAGTTTTGGTTCATATTGCTCTTTGAAAGAGAAGTTAGAGCAGGGATGTCAAACTCACAGCCTCACATGCCACTGCCATGACAACATGAGTCTGACATCCTTGAGTTAAGAGTTTCACTTTTATTTCAACATTAAACTATATCAGATGCAAAATTGCCTTATGATTTTTAGAGGAAATTTACAATCTGCTTACAAATATTAGTTTGTAAAAGTATTTTTAATTTGAAAGATTTGGGATGTATGAGTTTGTAAACAACTTATTTAATAAAGTGAAACTAAGTTTAGTCTGACTTTGGCCATAAGCACTACATCCAATGTAATAACCTTTTTGCTATATTTTTAAATAATAAATTTTACAGATGTTAGACACCAATTTGTATAGTTTATGTTTCTCTGGCATACCGGCATTGAAGTTTCCAGTTTCATGATTTATTTAAATGACTTGCTTCATTGTATATGTTTTGTTATATGGCTATGACAGTTACTGTCATATATGTGGGACAAAAACTCACCTTCAGAATACAGTAAGAAGTTACAGCAAGAAAAGAATCAAATGTGGGATCAGAATGCCTGTGAGAAATCTTTAATAAATTCTCTTGTTAGAAAAGTTTGTCTGCAGAAATGTTTCAAAAGCAGAATTTGTTCTTTTACATTCTTGTATACTTTTAGGTGCCAAGACCTTTTAAATTATAACTTCTCTTTTACCAATAATAAAAAGACAGTAGATTATGGCTCTGAATAATAAAGGAGTTTCTGTATTATAGTATCTTACTGCTTGGTTCAGGGAGAAATAAGCTTTTTGATGTAGTCAACCATACCTATGATCAGAATTCTGATTCATGTTTTTTGTACAATGTGCTGGTTCTAGGGGAAGGCTACAGCAAAGATTAAACTTAGTTATTAAACTAAGAAATATGTTTATTGTATTTATGTTTCCACATTTGAGAACAAATGTAAGTTTTCAAATCCAGTTAGGCAAAGTTGTAAAAAAAACAACTAATGTGCCCTCTCACTGAATCATGCCATATTAGCAGAATGTTTGGGTTAAAAACTGACATACTGAGCATCTAAACATTGGATGATAAATTTATCATAAATTTATAAATTTGATTTAACCTACAAAAGCAAAATATTTTTTTTCTTTTCTAGTGTCTGAAACTTTTGTGTTAGATTGCATTGAAGATTATGAATAGTCAAACCAAAGTGTTGTAATATTTCAAGGAATTTACATATAATTATTGTTTGTATAGAGTGTATTTAAAATGTGAATAATAGAAATGGAAATTTGTGCATCTGAATATTGTTGAGTAAATAGTTACTAGATAAAAGAATCAAAATTGTCATAACCCCATAATAATTTGCATTGAAGGATTTCATCTTGTGTTCCCCCAAATAGAGGGAGATACTATCAAAAGGGAAGGTGCTTGCAGCAGGTGGAGGCACATACCTGAACTTTAAGCATGCATAAGTTCATGTTTGTGTGCTCAATAAAGGGACAAGCTAAATCTTTCTACAGTTAATTTCTTCTTGCCCCAATTTTGCCTTGTTTTTTTTTCTTCTCTTCCCATTGTTTCCCCCTCATTCTGTCTTTCTCTTGTTTTCTTTGTATTTCAATTTCTCTCATTTCTGCTAAAGGGTCTTTATAAAGATATACTTGTGGCTATATATGTATTCAAGAGAATAATGTTTGCTTTACAAAATGAATTTCTTCATTTAGAGTATTAATCAGTTATTAACTAATGAATACTTTTTTTTGACTGGGCACTGGTTTTTTTGCATATGCCCAATATACATATACACACATTACATGGATGTGCTCTTTAGAAGTACATCATTTACTGTGAAGAAAAATTCAAAGATTGATTTCAGCTGGAGTTGCCCATTAGCTAGTGGCAAACAACTTTGTCAATGTCTTAAATATTGATACAAATTCCTGTATTTTGGATTCAGTCTTTGAGCAAGATCTTAAATATTCACTTTTCTATTTTACATTATGTTACTTGAAGCTTCCCTACTTCCAATTTTCTTAGGTCACATGCTATAGGTCATTATTGGAATAAAGATGGGTTGGAGTATCTGCACTTGCTTTGATGGTTTCCACATGGTACAGGATTGGTTTATGTGGTTAAAGCTGAGTCCTGCTATAGTTCTTTGGTACAATATCTATTCATTCACAGTGTGCATGGCATTGGTGTAGGAGTTCACATCCTTTGTCAACTCATCTTTTAGTTTTCATAGAATAAATTTTGCAATCTTTTTCCTGCTGATTTCCAAGCCAAGCTTGTTTATCAAGTGGCAGCTAAACTTAATTAGCTGCTGTTTGGCCTCTTGGACATTGTGGCTGATCATTACAGAATCGTCAGCTAAAACTGCAGGTAGGTGAGCTTCTTGCTTTTATCTGCCCAGTTGAGCCATCTGAAAATTTCACTGAGAGCCATTGTGAAAAGCTTTAGAGAGATTGTGTAATTTGTTGGATGACTTCATGTAATAGGGTGTTGATGGACAGCGAAAGAAACTGGTGTCAGTTGAGCCACCTTCTGTTAACCGGGTGTAGTTCTTATTGATATCTTGATTTCTCAACACATTTCTGATTGCATTCACTTATATACTGTCAAATGCTTTTTGACAGCAAATACGAGGTATAGAGACACAGATTTCTCCTGTTTGTTCCATTAACTGGTTAATTGTGTGTGGGGGTCATTGATGGTTGAGTATTCTTTGTGAAAATTGGTTTCCTTTCATAACTAGTTTTTTCATATTTTAACCATTGTAATTTGAATGAACTTAAGAGTTTATGAGAAACTATGCTGGATGATAATTAGCAAACTTTTGGAGTCCATTTTTTAAATATAAGAACTGTCTTTGAAGATTTCCATTGGTCAAAGATGTCACCTGTGTCTAGGTAGTCATTAAAGAATGTGGTCAGTTGCTTTATTAGCTTTGTAAACTTCAAAGGTGTGGCCCTTGGGTCTTACCTGATTTTGTCTGTTAAATTGTATGAAAAAACTCATCTAGCTTGATTTTTGATACTGTTGAATTTTTAATAAGTGTTAGAATGTGGCTATCTTTGAGGCAAAGATCATAATATGAAAATGCTTGCATTTTTCAAATGTTCATTGATCAGTTGTGCTGGTATCATCCTTCTTGAAGGCCCTTCTTTCTGTGACATTTCATTCTGGTATTTTTAAATGTTGCTTCTCACCTCTTCCTTGTTTTCACAAGTTGTAATTCAGTCATTTTCATAGTCTTCTTTTAGCTTCACTTTGCATTTCTGCTTATAGAATTTAATCCTGTTGTGTGTATTTTCTCCTTTGACCTCCTTCCTCTTCTCTAAGAGCTCTCTAGCTCTATTGCTAATGCAAGAGCATCTTTCAACTATTGTCTGAATTTTTGCTGCCGCTATGCAGTTTTTGAGTTTCCTGATGAGCCATATTGTTGGGATAGCACTAAGGTTATGATTCTCATTTTTTTCAAAATCCTTTAAATACAGTTGTATCTATTGTCATTATACAATCAATGTTGAGTCCATGAACTATTTTAACATTTGTGATAATTTCATATGCTTAATAGCAACAGCACTTAGACTTATAGACCACTTCACAGTGCTGTACAGTCATCTCCAAGCACTTTACAGAGTCCGCATATTGTTCCCAACAATCTGGGTCCTCATTTTACTGACCTCGGAAGGATGGAAGGCTGAGTCAACATTGAGCTGCTCAGAATCGAACTGCTGGAAGCCAGCAGAAGTAGCCTACAGTACTGCATTCTAACCACTGCACCATCATGACTCTTAATATGTAGTAGATCTGATTTATTTTAAAACATAGCTACCTGTCTTTCAGCCAACTCTGGGTGGCTCCCAGCCTTAGTTTCCTTGTAGGAATATGCCAAGTCCAGCATTTCCTTGCTGATTTTTCAAATTAGGTATTAATCACCTACATTATTTGTAGCTTAGATATGGTTGCTAGTTGTTCACCATTTTCATTTGGTTCACATAAGAATTTGCCTATGAAGCTTTTACTCACTTGGCTTGAGCTTACTCAAGCATTTATATCTCCTATAATTTTCTTTTTATAGAATGGTTGGGTTAACTTATTTAGGGGCTTTGGAGAAGCATTTGGTTTTATCTTTGTCATTGCTATTGTGGGGAGAATGGCATTGACCAATGAATAGTAAGTCTTCTGGGCATTTTATCTTTATTTTGAGGGTTTCAAGATATGGGAAATACTGTGATGATTGTTTTGTGTATGTTGGTTGGCAGCAGTGCCTTTAGATCAACCAATGTGTTGTGAACTTGCACCTATGTATGTTTCATTACCATTATTGTGCTAGTTTTTTGTTTTAATTGATAGCCTTGTTTTGTTCAGGCCAATGGTGGGGATGTTGATTTTTGTGAGATCTTATTTGAGATGGTTTTGATCGGGGATGGCCAGTTGAATCTGTCCTTGTTCTACCTTTCCTCCAAAGACTCAAAGGGCTAATCTTCTTTAAAAGTTTTTGAAATTAGGTTAAGGCTGCAAGTTTTCCACTCTTTGGGTCAATTATTATCAGATGAGATTTACGTAGAGTTTGTTGTGTTTGAAGAATTTGGGGAGGATCTAGTGTAGGCCTGTCAAACTGGTGGCCCGTGGACTGGGTGTGTCACACTCAGGCCATGCCTACCCCAACTCCGCAAAGGCAAAAAACGTGATATGTCATGATGCATCACGTGATGGTATTGAGTTTGACACCAGTGATCTAGTGATTTTCTTTCTAATAGAAAACTGGACAGATAGTTAAAAAAATGTATGAATATTGCTAGTGACTGCCTTTGTCGATTCCATGTAAGGATGAGAAGATTGTTCACATTTGATGAAGATCATTGTTTTTTACTTGTCATTTAATGATTTTCAGTTGAAAGTGTGAACAGATTCCATTGAGAAAAATTTACCCTGAGTTAATGAAAATTGAAGAGGTTGTCATTATTCAAGTAATTCTTACTTATAGTCAGTAAGTTGCCAACAAATGCACAAAGCAGGCGAAGGTTTCAAGTCCATGCTCTTTTAATTGAGAACCTCAGACTAAGTTGAAATGTCCATAGGATCAACTTGATTTTAAATAATTGGATATTGCCATTTATTTTTATATGATGTAATAATCTAGTGCTAGACTTTAATGAATAAGATTTTTTAAAAAAATAAACTATTCAGCAAAGATATAATTGAAGTTTCTTTCAAGTGTGAGAGAAAATCAAAAAATAAAATCGAATACAGACAAATCAATTTCTAATGTTTTTCTTCCTTTCCCTTGGTTTTCTTCTATGTGTGCATCTGATTCCTGATAAAATGCTATAAGTTATTTCCACTTCTCTGTGGCCTTCTCTCTAACTCCATATAACTTGATTGTAGCTTGGCTATATTATTCATTTTTAAACAAGCAAACATTTTGTTTTTGAGGTTTGAGGCCTGAACTGCTGTTATGTATTGCTCATAATAAGGTCGAGACTGTATTCTTTGTGGTAGAAGTAAAAGAAATGCTGTATTAAAAGAAGAATTCTGCATGCTGTATAAACTGTATTATAATAAAAGAATACTGAATCTGGCATTGGAATGTCTGCACAGGCTTTTTTACTTATCACTTTAGAATATAGGCTGATCGTTTAAAAAAATGAAAGCAAATGAAAGAAAAATTAAATTCTAAATCCAGTAGTAAGTTATTGTCTTAATTGCAAAATTATGGCAGTTTCTATTATAATATTCTGCTTGCCAATAGAGAATAATATTTCTATAGGGAATATGCATGAGCTCTTGAACATTATAATTACTGCAGTTATTCAAAGCAAATCCTCTCCAATCTTCTGCTTAGTGTGTCAGAGGGTTGTATTTTCAGTATTTGACATAACCGTTTCAATGACCACCAAATATTATCAGAGCACGCGCATACTTGAAAAACACTTAAGCATGATTGCTGCTGATTATAATTTGTGACTGCACGTGCATATTCACATGCAATGGCAAATATCTGAATTTTCAATGGTAATTTTTCTTTTAGATTTTAAATCCTGGTTTTATACTTGTTAAAAATAACACAAGGCAATGAACATACATAATATTCGTTCTTCCTTCTATTTACTCTGTAAGATGAGTCTGGTTGCGACAGAATGACTGGCCCAAAGTCACTCAGCTTGCTTACATGCCTAAGGCAGGACTAGCAGTCAGTTTCCTGGTTTCTAGTCTGAGATCTTAACCCATTAGACCCAAACTGGCTCTAAACTGCTAACTTTTGAAGAGGACACAGCCTTTCAACATTGTGGCTAGCAAAGAGATAGTGATCCTTAATCATGTTTAAAGCTGAAGAACAATTTGGCGTTTTGAAAGGCTGCTTAAATTGAGACAGTAAGTACATTTACATGTCATGTGTTCTCGTTTAGATTGGCAACTTTCATATTGACAGAACATTTGGCAATTTCTAATTTTTTTGTATCATTGGAAAGACTTTGCAAGATGTTGGGAAAGAAGAGATGTTGGGAAAGAAGAGATGTCCATGCTTTTGTATTCTCGGTTGACTTGATCCTGTGGCTTTCCTTGTATCCTCACTCATTTTCCTAGTAAACTAATGGCTGATAAATTATATGTTAGCTTTCTTTGAATAATATGGTGAACTATAGTTAAATGTAGGTGAAATTTTAAACCAGTAAATTGTTACATTTAAATTTTTCTGTCTTGATCACAATGTTATCCACAGCTCAATTTGTGTACCACATAAATCAAACCAAATCACATTTCAATACGATATGTAGACTGACTGTATTTAAGTCTGCAGAATGAGGCTCTAAATCATGAGTATCCAACCTTTTGGCTTGCCTACGCCACATTGAATGAAGAAGAATTGTCTTAGGCTGCATATAAAATATAGTTAATGTATTTTTATTTTTTTATTTATTGACTTGCTTGCTTGCTTTTACTTGCTTACTAAATTTATTGGCCACCCACTTACCATAGGGCAGCTTTGGGCAGCTTAAAATATTAAAATATAAATCTGTATAAAGCCTATACACAATAAAATTCTATAAAAATACAAATATGTAACCCCAAGTAAAAGATGAAGTAGGATGAGCAGTGGTGGTGGGGGAGGTGGGATTTGTTATTAATCTGAAGTTTCCCATTGGAGCCCCAAGCCAACTGGTATAGCCGGGTCTTTAAGCTCTTGCGGAAGGTCAAAAGGGTTGGCAAAATGTTCCAAAGGGCAGGACTAAAGGCAGAGAAGGCTCTTCTCTTAGATCCCTCCAGTCTGAATATCCTGGCCAATGGGTCCTGCAGCATGCCTCCTCTGCTAGCATGGATGGGACCAATTCCATTGAGATAAGATAAATCACATAATGTTAAAAAGTTTATGATTTTGTGGAACCATATTACTAGCTGTCCAGGGCCACATATGGGCCATGGGTTGGACATGCCTTCTCTAAGTATTCAGGTGTTCTACTGTATCACCTTTTCTACAAAGATGATTTATGTGGTTTTCATATGTATTAATTGTAGGTATATGGTTTGTATAAACACTTTGTCTTAGGCATCGGAATGGGCCAAATTTCTGCAATTGATATAATTGTATGGTATGTTTTACTAAACGTAGGAGCAACTCATAAGTCAATTGAACAAATTAATGCATAATCTAAACTATATTTCCCCTCTTTTATTTAGTTTAAGGAAGAAATCTCCAAGCGCTTCAAGGCTCACTCTGACCAACTTGTGTTGATATTTGCTGGAAAAATCTTAAAAGATCAAGATACATTGACCCAACATGGAATTCATGATGGACTTACTGTTCACCTTGTCATCAAGACACAAAACAGGTAGGCTGGTTTGTGTAAACTTCTGATTAATAGTTTTATTTCAACTTAACGACTCATATTATTTAAGATGTTTTTTTAAAAAAATAATCAATAAAAACCAAATAGAAAGAAGTGTGCTCAATTCTGTCTGTTCTGAAGTATATTTGCTTTCTATTATAAGCCCCAGGAGCAAAAATCCTTCTGGAATATGTTTGTGAACAAGCTGAACAATTATAGCAATTTGTTCATTATCTTGCATCATGTTATGGCAGTTCTAGGATTTCATATCCCTTTTCATCAAACAATAGCAACTAATTAGGTTTGTAGCCTTTCTGTTTGATTAGTTGAATAGATATTGTAACAGCATTAATGTTTTAAGTATGAGGGGTCTTTGGTGCCCGCTGAGCTTGGTTGTTTTCTTGCAGATGTTTAATTACCAAAGTAGGTAACATCATCAGTGCTAGTGATTTAAGTATAGTTTAAGTATGTTACAGATAACTGTAATTAATTTACAGTGAGAAGAGAGAAAAATTAACTAAGAGAATACTAATATTATACTGATTTGTGATCAGTAATATGTTTGTTGAAAAGTATGCAAAGCCATCAAATTGATCTAAATTTCTTATAACAACATAGATGTGATTTATATTTATTTTTAATGTCCTTTAAACAGAAAATAGGTTATAAATCAAATGATGTCATGTCTTTTGTTGTATTTTAATTGATATGCTAAATACCTTGGCAACATAGTAATGAAGGAAGTGAAATTTTCTGTTTATAATTTTGAGCAGAACAAATTTTTGTTTTGTTTTTTTGTAATTTATGAAATTATTATGTATTTCTGATAAATATTGATCATCTTCTCATCAGCTTCTTTAACTTTAATAGCAGTTGACCCAGTCAGTGCTGTTGCTTGCATTTCTGCCCTTTTTTTGTCAGCGTATTGCACTCTATAAACACTGCACAACTACAATTCAAAACATTCTCACAATTTGCAGTGCTTTCTAGGAATGTTAAAAAGTGCTGCTCAGCATTATATGGATCATCTTAGGTTGACTGTTCTGCTGTAGGAATACAGTGCATTCAGAAAGTATTCAGACCCCCTTCATTTTTTTTAATAAAAATTTTATTTGGGTTTTCACAAAACATAATGCATGTAGAATTTCTTTTTTTGAGAATAGCATGGTCCCGGGTTATCACTTCTCCGTACAGACACAAATTCAATTTCATATTCATCTTTATGTTCTATTCCATATCTTATTACTATTTTAACATTTTCTCAATAATTTTTCCCTTCCCTTGGTATTCTCAGTGTTACTTTTAATTATCTCATTCCTTTCTAAATTCATTTATATATATCTTTTTCTAAGTTTCTGTACCTTTGTAGTCATTATATTTATACTTTTGTCTGTCCTGTTTCAATTTCATATTTTCTTTTCTCATTAAACAAAATTTTTCCCTGCAGTTACTAATTGGAGTATGACACCTTTGTATCTTTTAATTTTTATCCATTCAACTCTTATTTAAACTTCAATTTATGCCTTTACAATTATAACATTCAATATAACACAAAACTTCCAGTCAAATTCTGCTTGGTACATTCTTAAAATACACATTAAGTTCTTAAAGAGAAAATATATATACAACAATAATAAAATACTTATTGTATTCCAATTCAGCTGTATCATTAATGTTAGTTATAATCTTTGACATCTTTAATATTTCTTTTCATTACGGTATCATACTTCTAGGAATGCTTATAATATTTCCATATTTTTTTCATGTTTCTTTCATATTCCTCTTCACTTAAATTTTTATAACACATTTATAATAATTAAATTGTTTCCCTCCTTTCCTAATTTCATTCTCTCATTCTCTTTATTTCATTTATTTATTAAACATTCCATTACAATGAGTATTTTATCTATCATTTTAATCACACGTTTCATATTTTCAAAGATCATTTCTATTTCTAATATAACAATACTATCTTATGTACCCTTGCAGAATCCCCCTTTCAATTAAGTTTTCACCCATTATCTCTGTGTCTTCTAAATAGGCTTATATCCTTAATCTTTGTACGTTTTCCCTGTTTCTCTATGTCCTGTTTCTGTCTTTTATAATTTCTTTTCAGATCCTAAATTTTCCACTCTCTTTCCCCACTTTCCTTTCTTTTCCCCACATAGAAATACTTCATTTTTGTCAATTTTGTTATTCTGCAGCCTGATTCAACAGTTGTTGAAATTCATTTTTTTCTCATTAATCTACACTCTGTAGCCCATAATGACACAGTGAAAATAGAATTGTAGAAAAGTCTAAATTTATTAAAAAGAAAAAAAAACCCTGAAATATCACATTGGCATAAGTATTCAGACCCTTCCCTCAGTATTACGTTGAAGCACCTTTGGTAGCAATTACAGCCTCGAGTCTTATTGGATATGACACAACAAGCTTTGCACACTTGGTTTGGGGGATTTTCTGCCATTCTTCCTTGCAAATCCTCTCAAGTTTGGCCAGGTTGGATGGCGACCATTGGTGGACAGCCATTTTCAGGCGCCTCCAGAGATGTTCAATAGGGTTCAAGTCAGGGTTCTGGCTGGGCCACTCTAGGACATTCATAGAGTTGTCCCTAAGCCACTCCTGTGTTGTTGTTGGCTGTGTATTGTCATTGTCATGTTGAAAAGTGAGCCTTCAGCCCAGACTGAAGTCCTGAATGCTGTGGAACAGGTTTTCATTGACGATATCCCTGTACTTTGCTCCATTCAGCTTTCCCTCAAGCCTGTCCAATCTCCCAGTCCTGGCTGCTGAAAAACAACCCCACAGCATGATGTTTTATTTATTTTATTTATTTTTGTCAATTGCTTACAAGATAATAGGTATAAGTAAAAACATAGTTATGGATACATATAAGAAAAATTAAAGAAACAATAGGACAGGGACAGCAGGCATGTTGATGCGCTTATGCACGCCCCCTACAGACCTCTTAGGAAAGGGGTGAGGTCAATAGTAGACAGTCTAAGGTTAAAGTTTTTGGGGTTTGGGGAAGAAACCACAGAGTCAGGTAGAGTATTCCAGGCATTGACCACTCTGTTGCTGAAGTCGTATTTCCTGCAATCAAGTTTGGTGCAATTAACCTTGAGTTTGTATCTATTTTTTGTTCTTGTGTTATTATGGTTGAAGCTGAAATATTAACAGATAGGACATTGCAATGTATGATTTTATATACTATACTTAGATCGGACCAAAGGCGGCATAGTTTTTCTAGGTCTAGAATTTCGAGTCTGGTGGCATAAGGTATTCTGCAATGAGTAGAGGAGTGGAGAACTCTTCTTGTGAAATATTTCTGGACTTTCTTAACTGTGTTAATATGAGATACGTAATGTGGGTTCCAGACTGATGAGCTGTATTTGAGTATTGGTCTAGCAAATGTTTTATATGCTCTAGTTAGTAGTGTGATATTACCAGGGAAAAAGCTACGTAAGATTAGGTTAACAATTCTTAACGTCTTTTTGGCTATGTAGTTACAGTGGGCTTTAGCACTTAGGTCATTAGAGATGAGTACTCCAAGATCCTTGACAGTGTTTGGGTCATCAACAAGTCTTGACTATTCAGCTTGTATTTTATTTTCTGATTTATTTATTTTTTTTGCGAATATGTAGGACAGAGCATTTGTTTGTTGAGATTTGAAGTTGCCATTTGTTTGACCATTCTGATACATAGTCAAAGTCTTTTTGAAGGGTAGCAGTATTGTCTGTGGTGTTGAATAGCTTTACATCAACAGCGAAGAGAACACAGTTGCTCTTGATATGATCACAGAGTTCATTTATGTAGAGTATGAAAAGAGTTGGTCCTAGAACACTGCCTTGGAGGACACCACTGTTGACAGGTAGAGAATTTGATAGGACGCTCCCAATTTTGACCATTTGTTGTCTGTTTGACAGGAATGCTTCTATCCAGTTATGCAGGTGTCCAGAGATACCGTAAGATTTTAGTTTTAGGGGTAGTTTGTCATGTAACACTGAATCAAAGGCTTTACAGAAGTCTATGTAGATTGCTTCTATTGCTTTGCCCTGATCGAGTTGTGTAGTCCATTTGTTTTTGCAGTGTAAGAGTTGCAGATTACAGGATAGTTTTTTCCTGAAACTAAATTGTTTATTAGAGAGTAGGTTGTTTGTATCTAAGTGGATGATGATGGATTGGTTAATAATTGATTCCATGACTTTACAGGTGACGCAGCATAAAGAGATTGGTCTGTAATTTTCAACTAGGCTGGGGTCTCCCTTTTTGAAGATGGGGATTACCGTGGCTTGTGACCATAGTTTTTGCAAGGAGTTGGTCATGAAAGATTTTTCAAAGATTATGCTTAGAGGTTCGGCTATGGCAGTGGATAGCTTTTTTAAGAAGTAGGCACATATTCTGTCCGGTCCAATAGATAGAGATGGTTTTAGATTGCATAGTGCTTTTTCAACAAAGTCTTCTGTAAAATTGATATGTATTGGATCATTGTAATTGTCTGTGGTTCTACTAGAAAATACTGGGCATGATCCATTGCTGTTTACAAATACTGAGCCAAAGAATGTGTTAAAGAGGTTGGTTTTAATAGTGTCGTCATTGCAGTCTTTACCATTAGGTCCTTTCAGGGGTGGGATGGACCTTGAGTCTTTTAGCTTGTTATTTACCAAATTGTAGAAAGCACGGGTGGAATTGGTGAGTAGAAGGTTTTCTTCTTGTTTAATGTGATGATTGGTGCATTCAGTCTTTATCCGGTGGCATAAATTTTTGTATCGGCTTTTGAAGTTGGCAATGTGACCAGATTTGTTTTTCCACCAAAATGATTTCTTTTTGGATTGAAGCTTCCTTATTGTTATGGGTAATTTGTTTTTTCTGGTTTTGGGAGTTGTTAATGGTACATGTAGTTTGATAACTCTTTTGAGTTCATGTTGATGTTGCCACCACCATGCTTCACTGTTGGGATAGTATTGGGTAGGTGATGAGTTGTGCTTGGTTTCCTCCAGACATAACATTTAGAATTCAATCTTGGTTCAATCTTGGTTTCATCAGACCAGAGAATCATGTTCCTCACCGTCTGAGAGTTCTTCAGGTGCTTTTTTGCAAAGTCCAAGTGGGCTTTCATGTGTTTTACACTGAGGAGAGGCTTCTATCTTGGCACTCTACCATAAAGCCCAAATTGGTGGAGGGCTGAAGTGATGGTTGTTCTTCTGGAACTCTGTCCCATTTTCACACGGGATCTCTGGAGTTCATTCAGAGTAACCATCAGATTTTTGGTCATTTTTCTTACTAAGGCCTTTCTCCCCCAATTGCTCAGTTAGACTGGGCAACCAGCTCTTGGAAGAGTCCTGGTTGTGCCAAACCTCTTCCATTTGAGAATTATGGAGGCCACTATGCTCTTTGGAACTTTCAGTGCAGCAGAAATTTTATTGTAGCTTTCCCCAGATCTGTACCTTGCAATAATCCTATCTCCGAGCTCTGTAGGCCTTTCATAGAGATATATGTGCCTTTCCATATCATGTCTAGTCAATTTACCACAGGTGGACTCCAAAGTGTAGAAACATATCAGCAATGATCAAGATAAATGGAAGGCACCAGAGCTAAATTTCACGTTGTTGCAAAGGATCTGAAAATGTATGCCAATGTGATACTTCAGTTTTTAAAATAAATTTATAGGCATTTCTAAAATTCTTTTTCACTTTGCCATTATGGGGTATTGAGTGTAGATTAAAGAGGAAAAAAGAAAATGAATTTCAACAACTGTAGAATCAGGCTGCATCAAAGCAAAATTGACAGAAAGTGAAAGGGGTCTGAATACTTTCTGAATGCATTGTAATTGTTTCAGATCATAGTTATGGTTACATGTTCTGCATGCAGAATGGTACTGATCAAATGAGACTAACTTGATGAATATGTCTTTTATCATTTTTTCGTACGTCTTTGTACAAAATTATCCCATTAAAAACTATAAAAATGTAGTAGTATACCGGTAGTTCTTGACTTATGACCACATTTGAGACCAAAATTTCCATTAAGTAAGAAGGTTAGGTTGCACCAAATTTTACAACCTTTATGCCATGGTTGTTAAGCGAATCACTGTAGTTATTAAATGAATTACATGATCATTAAACAAATCCAGGTTCCCCCATTGCTTAACAGCTGGGAAGGTCACAAATGATGATCACATGTCCCTGGGATGCTGCAACCTTCATACATGCTGGTTGCCAAGAATCTATATTTTCATATATCTTGAGACAGTGGAAATGCTGCCACAGTTGTAAATGCGCAGTTCAGTTGTAAGTCACTTTTTTGAATTTTTTGTAACGGTTCAGAACCGTAGTAACTTTAAATGGTCCCAAGCAAATGATTGCAAGTTAAGGACTACCTGTATACTATGAAAAAATATGTATGTGATATTTACTCAATTTAAATGCAAAGGGCTTGATTTAGACTTGATTCAAAATAGCAAAGTCCATTCTCAGTGCATATGACCATCTTAATTTCCCTTTGCTTTCTTAACTTTCCTCCTCTTAAAAAAAAGAAAAAATAAATTGTAATGCACCCTATTTGCATTGGAATGTCTGGATTCTACTGACTCATCAGTTAAGAACTGACATGATGTTATAAAACTTTTTAAATCCAACCATAATTACTTTGAATAAGAGAAAGTTAATCAGATATTTTTATCATGTTGAGCATTATAAATGAAAACTGAACTGCTACTTTCACAAACGTTTCTGTTTCTCATTTTTAATTAAATTTGTTCATTGTAGAAATGTTTTTTTAAATGTTTTATAGATCACATGATAATTCAGCTCAGCAAACAAGTACTTCAGGGAGTACTGCTACCACAACAACATCAACCAATAGTACCTCTACAAATCCAACAAATACCACCCCATTTGGTTTGGGTAAGGCCCTTAATGAGAGGGATATTTTCTAAATAAGCTCTAATCTGATATGATCTCTACTGTCCATTGCCAGATATATCTTATTGACTTTCCATATTTATAGTAAATGAACACCCATGAATATAGGAAAATATACTAATGCATATATATGTAGCTAAATGGTAACTGGTCTTACAAGTGTATATGTACTGGGAATTCTTGTGAAATTTGGAAGTACTGGTCCAAAGTGTCTCATTATACAGGTTGTACACACAGGTATACTGTATAGGTGTAAAACTGAATTTAAATAGATTAGGGCCAAGAATTATTCAGTGACCATTCAAAGTAACAATAGCGTTGAACAAGGGGAACTTACAAAAGGTCCTCATGGCTGCAGCCACAGCATCAGTGCAGTCACATGATTGTGATTCAGGCACTTGGTAACCATCTTGCAATTACAATGTTGCAATGTCACATGATCATGTGATCGCCATTTGGAAACCTCACTGTTGGTTTCCAACAAGCACAGTTATTGGGAATCTGGCATTTTTATGAGATGGCTTTTTATATAGTCCATTAAATAAAAAAACATAAATGTTCTCCATTCTACTAGGTTTCTGTTACTTGTGCTATATTTTTATTCTCTTGTAACAAACAAGAATATAATTTGGCTTTTCTAATTTTTAAAGTAAATCATTATTTTTGTTAAGGTAAGAAGAAGCAATTCCTTAAGGCAGTGGCCCCCAACCTATTTTGTGCCACGGCCCGATACCGGCATCACAAAATGATCCGCAGCCCAGTACCGGCATCAGCACACATGACAAGGCGAGCCGAGCCGAGCGACCCCAAAGCAAGAGCCCCCTTTTTCGGCTTCATTTGTTCAACTAGAACCCATCCAACAAAGTGGAAAACTTGTCCTTCCACTAAATCCAAATTAAATTTGTTTTCGCTCAGTTTTTTTTTTTAACAGCGGCACCCCATCTGACCCCCCCACCTCACGGTGCTTACCCACCCGCTTGCCTTGCAATGAAAAGATTCTCCTGCAGAAGCGGCGCAACCGACTCCCTGATATCCTCCTACACGGCCGTTTGAATTTAATCTCGCGCCTGGAGGTCACGTGAGCGACATGGCCCTGCCTGATTAGTGCAGCCAGGAGCTTGAAATTAGTCAATCAGGAAGCAACAAAATGTTACTCGGCTCACTCTTTCTGTCCAGGGCTCAGCAGCCTGTGTGGTTCTTTTGAAAAATGCATGCCGGTTGTTACCATTCCCCACCCCCCCACACTTCCCTCAGGGCTAACCACCCAGATTGGCTATTTTTTGCATATAAAGTTTTGCGTCTGCCTATATCCTGGTCCTACCTCTCTTTTTTTTTTTGTTCTGTAATTTGTGAGTTCCTTTTGGGGGGAACGAATGCCTGCTGTAGCAGAACTTTATGCAATTCATTTTTCGTATTTTCATTTTGGGAGAAAGGAAAGAAGAAAAATTGGAGTCTTTAAAAAAAAACTTTCTCATCGAAGCAAGATGGCGGCGCCCAGCAAACCGGCGGCCTGGTAGAAAATGTTCCACGGACCGGGACCGGTCCGGGGACCGGTGGTTGGGGAGCCCTGCCTTAAGGGATACCGTACCATTTCGTTATGAGCAAAAGAGGGAGAACCATATAGGCACAAACTGGTTTTCAGGCCAAAAGACAACTACTTTTAACAATGTCGGCAATCTTGCTGAACCACTTACTGTCATCAGACTTCTCTTTTACATGCTTCAGTACAAATAACATTGACATTCCTAAAGTATTGGACACAACTCAAAAAATGGCACAAAACAAAATTGGACAGCTAATAAGAAAACATACTTCCTTTAACTAAAAAAACCCTTATTAATAAAAAGTGATACAGAAACAAATCCTAAACCAATATTTAATATTTTTGTTGTTTCTTGAAGGTGGCCTTGGGGGACTTGCAAGTCTGAGTAGTCTAGGTCTAAGTACCTCAAACTTCTCAGAACTACAAAGTCAAATGCAGCGACAGCTCATGTCCAATCCAGAAATGATGGTTCAGATTATGGAGAATCCCTTCGTTCAAAGCATGCTTTCAAATCCAGACCTAATGCGACAATTAATTATGGCCAATCCTCAAATGCAGCAACTGATACAGAGAAATCCAGAAATCAGTCATATGCTCAATAACCCTGATATTATGCGACAGGTAAGTTATAATAGGTCATATAATAGGTATTGGATAATGATTTTGTCACCACATACAGTAAATTATAATTAACACATTCAAAATAAGTGAAAGTATGGCTCATTTAATGGATATATAATTATATTAATTTTGTTGTTTATATTTATACTGATGAATTCAAAGTTGGTTTATAATGATTCATACCTTGGGTCAGTCTAACTTACTATTGCCAACCATCTGCATTTACACCAAATTTTTCAAAGTTGTTTCAAGTTCTTCTATTGGAGAAGATTTGATGGGAGGTTATTTGGATAACTTTATAATCTCAAAATACAATCTTAATCACAAAATATTTATATTTTAAGTATGTTCAGATTGAGCAGTTTAGTTACTTACGTACCTAATCAAAGTATATTTGGTTAAACCTATATATTGTGAATAGCCATTGCATTCCAGTATTGGGATAACCATTGCAATTTTACTATATATCCATACATATATAAAGATACAGTTTGTTTGTTTATCAAATTTATACAGCACTCATCTCAATTAAGTGTCTCTAGGCAATTTACAAATATAGGCCATGCAGGCATATAAAAGAGACATAGGCAAAAACAAAGTTAAAAAGTTTTTTAAAATGCAGAAGAAGCACCCTCAAATCACCCACAATCCCTCAAATTTGCATGCCATTCTTAGATCCCAATGCCAATTGGCAGAGCCAGAACTTGATGATTTCCAGAAGGCCGGAAGAGTGGCGGCCTGCCTCATTCTAGAGTAGGGATAGGCAAGATACTCCATAGGGCAGTGGCAATGGCAGAGATGCTCTCTTCCGAGACTCTACCAATCAAAGTTCCTTAATCAACAGGATTCACAACATATCTCCTCTGCCTGACTTACATCAACCAGATTGAGATGCCATTTATGAGATCAAGTATCAAAAATTTCCTTCTCTGTCAGATGTTTCTTTCTAGAATTTGTCCTTGTTCTTTGTTAACCTCTCCAGCAGTCTCTCACAATGAATCTTAATTACAAAGCTATTCTACCTTCATAGATTTTGAATAAGCATGAAAGTAGTCTTTGCCTCCTGATATATGTATTTGTTGGTAGAATTGTTCTTTTCTTAACTTTTTTAGACTCTGGAACTTGCTAGAAATCCTGCAATGATGCAAGAAATGATGAGAAATCAGGATCGTGCCTTGAGTAATCTTGAAAGTATACCTGGTGGCTATAATGCTTTGAGACGAATGTACACAGATATACAGGAGCCAATGCTGAATGCAGCACAGGAGCAGGTGAGTAATGCTAGAACTTTAAATAAGCTGAAATTAACTGTCTAACTTAATCCTTCATTTTCATTTTATTTGAAGAGGCGAAAAATTAGCTCTTTTATCTTGCCTTCTATAATTTTGGTAAACATATCCTGCTAAATTATAGAATGAGGAAATAGCCTACTGCAATGGTGTCATTAAACACAAATTACTTAGCATGTGATGCTTCAATTTTTGAGAAACTTTTTTTGCAGAAACCCCTCTAATAGTGCTTAAATAAGAAATATTTAGCAATGAATATCTAGCTTGTACTTTATTTTATTCCCTTGCTGTTATGATGAATTGTTGAATGTAATATGCTACTTAATTAAAAAACCAAAACCCTTGTCTTAAACCCTTTAATGTAATTTATAAAGTTATTTGATACTATTTTTCTAAAACATTTTGTTCAAATAAAGATTCTACTTAATGTAGAAACTTTTGGGGACAGTATTGTGCAATCGTGCAAAATAGTGCAAGGATCGAAAAGTAAGGTTGAAAATAAATATTTAAAAATTGCATGTATATTGTGAGTTTTCAAGAAACTCACTCTTAGGATTTCACGTAATTATATAAAAATATCAAAAGTACATATAATGCAACATTATTGTCTTGTTTGAAATGAGAACAATGAAATCCCATGAGATTTGATGATCTTGTAATATAGTGAACCCTTTAATTAAATAATGTTTATTTAAACTTCAGGGTTCCATGGACATCACCTTGGGTGGGGAATCATAGACATGTTGGCATTTCATGGGCATAACTTTGCTACCTCTCTGGCTAGGAGGTTTTCTGTACACTTTCGTTTGCTTTCTATATATATAATATATATATATATATATATATATATATATATGTACATATTTGTTTATTCTTGTTTTTTATTGCGTTTCATTCAA